AAAATTTAACAATTTTTGAGTTATCTTCTGAGCATTTTATGAATTTTTTTTTTAGATGAATAATTTCTAAAATTGAAAAATATCTATTTAAGTTCACCTTTACTACTATAAATAATTAAGATACTAAATAAATAATAAAAATATTTATATATATTGATAATATATTCATTTGAATAGTTAATTTAATATTTCTATTTTACATTTTTTATGTAAATGTACACATGGATATAAATCTTTGGATGTATCAATAGTCAAAGTCTAATAATAATAATTTAATATTGATACAAATGATTCATTTGTTAATTACTTTGTCCATTTAATATACTTCTTTTGAATATCTACTTCAACAATTATAATATCATTTGTTGAAAATTCAAATGCTATTTTTTTATCATTTTTATCTTATTAATCATGATTATAACAATAACCAGTATTGTATATATTATTTTGGATAGAATGTAGTTAGTGAAGGTATCAATCTAACATTTACTTTAAGAATAGGAAAACTTTTGGCTCAATACAATTATAAAAGTTTTCCTTTCAAGTTTGTTCATTCAGAATTTTTTTGATTAATCTAATGAATAAGAAGATCAATTATTATTTACATTTTCCTCACTATTATTATATAACTGAAATTTAAATGAAATAAAAAGCTTATTGAATTTATTAAGTGTAATTGTTTTAAATTTTTAATCCATAAAAAAATTCTTAATCTCTATTGAATACTCTTTGTATCATCAAAATCAATAGCCTTATCATATTATTGCACTTTCTCTACTTGAAGTTGATATTTATGATTTAGAGAAAGTTTAGATTATGAAGTATTGCTACCTTTAGTGCTTTAGTATAAATTATTAAAATTTTATGATATAAACTCAAAGTTATAATTTGGATCCTAATTTGCTTAGCATATTCTTTGAATAAATTTCTATACTAATAAGATCTCAAGACGCCCTCTATTATTAGATTTTGATGACTAAGAAACAAATACTTAATATTATGAAGTAGAAAAAGTGTTATCTAAAAATCATGTTATAAATTATTATTAGTTTTCCTATTTTTCTTAAATTATTCACATACCACATCATCTAACTTAATTAACTTATGCCTAGACAGAAGAATATTAATTCTTTTTTTTAATATCTTTTCATACCAGAATTTATTTAATAATTCACAGTGAGGATGAATTCATACATCAAATTAATAATATTTTAATAATTGATTAGAAATATCAGGATCACTAAAATAAACATTAAGAAAGTATTTAATTAGTTTACACTTTTCAAAACTATTTGGGTTTTTCATTTCTAATACAAATTGAAGATAATCCAAAATCAAAGTAATTACCATTTCCATGTAAAAGACTCAACACTAAAATTGAAATATATTTGATTCAATAACAATTAAATTACTTGATTCTATCTGGCTTCCTGATTGAATAAATTTATTATGAAAAGAATTTTATTATACTTATCAATAATTAATAAATAATTTGGAATCTTATGCATTTTAAGACCTAAAATTAAAGCAATAAATAATCTCAAAACAAATTAATAAGTCTATATGGATTAATTGTACTTATAATAATAATTAAATACTATTGAAATTGACCAAATTGTTAATCCAAGTATGAACAATCCTAATAATATTAAATATTATATTATTCAATCCATTATGCTGATCTATTTGAATAAAGATCAATAAAAATAGACTTCTTTGGAACAATTTGTTAAATATTATCCAATTATAATAATTAAGCTGTAAGCAAAATATTACTCAGACCTTATGATTTTAAAAAATTATAAAATAAATATCAAAACTAAGCTATAAATTTAACTACAATATATAATAATAAGGACTTTTATAATTTGATATATTGTTTATTTTTATAAATAATGAAGTTTCATATAATATTAAATTTACAAACATTTCTTTATAGATACAACTAGGATTAATTTAAATTGATTTTGTGTATGAAACCTCTTTTGATAATAAATATAATACTTCATCGATTGAATCTAGATGTTATTCAAAATAAAAAAAATTACTCTCTAAATATATTTTTTAGTATAATAATTTTCAGTTGAGTATTATGATTTAATTAAAAAAATATATTTGTATATTATTTGATAATTTATTTTTAATAATCATAAAATAATTTTATTGCATAATTAAACCTCTAAATATGAGGTAACTATATTACTTAGCATTAATTGTAGTCTTAAATTTAGTTGATTAAGTGAGCTAAATTCATCCAATTTAGATTTATATCGTTTCATTAGGTCTTATATTTTTAATTATTATAGATTTTGAAAAATAACAATAATGGGATCTACCATTCTCATTCTAACTAAAAGGAGCAATATAGATAAATAAATACCTATTTAAATATTAATTGAATAAAATAAACAATCTATCCACTCTACTTATGAT